GTATGAGTTGCAAAAACATTATCAAATGTTGATTTATGAACTTGGAAGTTTATTTGGTGTTACTGAGTCTGAAAACATGGCCAGAGAATGGAGCACAAGGTACTTGTTTGCATGCCATGACTAATAGAAAACTTTCCTAAGATATCGCAAGACCATGCTTTCTAAAATGCTACAAGAGTTGGTATAAATGGTATCACTGAGCTTTAACCTATCCAAAGCCAAGTATGAATGTCTTTCCAAAATGCTATTTAATAAAACAAATAAGGTTTCAATTGTAAAAATTTATCCAATTTCTTTCCAAACTTTTGATCCACGCTACAATGGGACTATAAATCTATCTCAAATAAAACTCCAAAGAGCTTTAAAAAATAAATAAATAAATAAAGTACACTGTCTGAGGTACATGTCTGGCATAACTATAAGATATATATGGTGTTTCTCCAAAAAATATACACAAGACTATCTTATTTTTTAATAAAAAAATTGTATTTTATCAACTGAAAACATTTTTCTCTTTGTATGACAACATTGTGAAAATCAAAAAGCAAGCCACAAAGTAGGAGGAAATATTTGTAATACGTAGATCTGACAAAGGACTTTATTCAGAATACATAAAGATATATCATAACACAATAATGAGACAAACAAGCTACTTAATAAATGAGGAAAAGATCTGAAAGACACAAGGCTATCTTATAGAAAATCTGGTCAAGAAAATTACCCATGATACAAGTACCCTGAAACAGTAACTGTCATATTTGAACAATTCCTTTCAATTTTTTTGGTAGTTCCTACTATGAAATAATAGCACAAAGAAGTCCTATATATGCTTCACTCAGAGTCTATAACCTTTGACATTTTCCATGTTCTCTGTGTATATACAGAGAGTATTACTTTTTGCCTGAACCATTAAAGTTGCATATATAATACTCCTTTACTCCTAAATATTTCCTAAAAACAAGGCCATTCTCTAATACAACTACAGTATAATTATCAAAACCAGGAAATTAACATTGATACAGAATTATGATCTAATGTTCAGAGCTTATTTGCATGTTGTCAATTATCCTAATACTGTCCATTACAAAAAAAAAAAAAAATCCCTCTGGTTCACGCCCAATCCAGGATCACATATTGCATTAAACTGTCATAGCTCTTTAGCCTCCTTTAATTTATAACAGTTCCTCAGGCTGCCATTCATTGTCTGTTATAACCTTGACATATTTAAAGAGTCTAGGCCAGTTATTTTATACAATGTCCCTCTGCACATTTAGATTTGCCTGATGCTTACCCACGATTACACGCAGGTCATGCATTTTTGGCAGGAGTCCACAAAAGAGATTATGTTCTTCTCAATAAAGAGACATGTCAGTTTGTCACATTATTCATGATGTAAACTTTGATGACCTAAGATGGTGTCTGCCAGGTTTTTTATTGCAAAGTTTCTACTCTTACCTTAGTAATTGTTAGCATTTTGTGAAGAGATACTTTGAGATTACATAAATATACCAATCACCAAACTTTCACCCCATAGTTTTAACATTCATTATGATTCTTGGCTGAATCAATTGTTTGACAGATGGTGATTTTCTAACTATATAATCCTTCTACATTTATTAGTTGGCATTCAACTTTAGGAAAGCACCTTTTCCTTCTTCCTTTTTAGTGGGGACTCACTGATTCCTATTTTCTTCAGTAGGTTATGATTCATTATTATCACTTTATTTTGATGCTCAAATTGTCTCAGATTTGGTTGCTGAGAGCCCCTTGAATTTGATTCCTGTATCACTTTAACATGTCCCCATCACTTTTTGAGCTATTGCTTACTTTCTACAAGGTGCTCCCGGTTCATCTTTTTAAAATTGTCATCAGGGTATTTAAAATGAGATCTACCTTCCTAACAAAATGTAGTATTAACTATAGATATGATATTATACAGCAGATCTCGAGAATTTCTTCATCTCACATAAATGTAACTTTATACTCGCTGAATAACAATGGCATCTCTCCCTTCCCATGACCCCTGGCAACCACTATTGTATTCTGTTTCTATGAGTTTTAACTTTTTTAGATACTTTATGTAAGTAAAATCATGCAGTATTTGTCGTTCTGTGACTAGCTTATCTCATTTAGCATAATGTCTTCAAGGTTCATCTCTGTTGTTACATATGAGAGCTATTTCCTTCTTTTTAAAGATTCAATAATAGTCCATTTTATGTATATACCACATTTTCCTTATCTTTTCGTCTGTAGATATTTAGGTTATTCCCACATCTTGGCTATTGTAAATAGTGCTGCAATGAACACGAGAGTGCAAATATCTCTTCTGTATCCTGATTTCAATTCTTCTGGATAAATTCCCAGAAGTAGAATTGCTGGGTAATATGACAGTTCTATTTTTAATTTTGTGAGGAATCCCCATATTGTTTTCCATAGGGGCTATACCATTTTACTTTCCCACTGACAGTGTACAAGAGTTCCAATTCTTCCAAATCCTTGCCAATACTTTTAATTCTTTTAGTAAGTCATCCTAACAGGGGTTAGGTAATAGCTCACTGTGGGTTTAATTTGCATTTCCTTGATGATTAGTGATGTTTCACATCTTTTCCTATACCTGTTGGCCATCCACACGTCTTCTTTGTAGAAATGTCTATTCAAATCCTTTTTTCATTTTTTAAACAAGTTATTTGTGGTTCTGCTTTTGAGTTATAGAAAGTCCTTATATTTATTTTAGATATTATTTATCAGATACATGGCTTGGAAATGTTTTCACCCATTCTGTAGATTGCCTTTTCACTCCTCCATCACTCATTTCCTATGCTGTACAGAAGCTTTTTAGTTTGATGTATCCACACTCTTCTTTTTTTTTTTTTTTTTTTTTTGAGACGGAGTTTCGCTCCTGTTACCAAGGCTGGAGTGCAATGACGCGATCTCGGCTCACCGCAACCTCTGCCTCCTGGACTCAGGCAATTCTCCTGCCTCAGCCTCCCGAGTAGTCCACACTCTTCTTATGATTCCCCTGCTCAGCCCTGGAATTGGTCATTTTTCCAAGAAGCCATGACTCCTTAGGGGACAGTGGTACTTGGAAACCAAGATCTAGATACTAGATGTGTTCTTTGCTATTGGGGCTTCCAATCATTTTTCATATGCATTTTTTACTTAGTCATAATAACTAGATATTTGCAATTTCGAATCTTGTGTTTTCTACTTTTAAATCTTTTTCATATTCAAAAATTTTTTATTGTTTTATAATTTTTTCTTTAATGGAAGTAATACAATATGGTCTTGGTTTGCTGCTGCTGCTTTTTTTTTTTTTTTTTTTTTTTTTTTTTTTTTTTTTTTTTTTTTAAATTTTTTTTTTTTTTTTTTTTTTTTTTTTTTTTTTTTTTAAATTTTTTTTTTTTTTTTTTTTTTTTTTTTTTTTTTTTTTTTTTTTTTTTTTTTTTTTTTTTTTTTTTTTTTTGAGACAGAGTCTTGTTCTGTTGCCAGGCGCCAGGCTGGAGTGCAGTGGTGCAATCTCGGCTCACTGCAACCTCCCCCTCCCAGGTTCAAACAATTCTCCTGCCTCAGCCTCCTGAGTAGCTGGGACTACAGGCATCTGCCACCACGCCCTGCTAATTTTTGTATTTTAGTAGAGATAGGGTTTCACCATGTTGACCAGGATGGTCTCCATCTCTTGATCTCATGATCCGCTCACCTCGGCCCCCCAAAGTGCTGGGATTACAGGCGTGAGCCACCGCGCCCAGCCTGCTTCATATTTTTCACAATTTAAAAAAAAAAAAAACACCTGGAATAGGCCTTTCTATCTATTGAAAATAGCCTTTTCATATTTACGATTAAAAGGAAAATTATTTGGTGAAAGGTTATTGGCAATTTAATAACCCTTGACACGAACTGCAAAGCTGCTTTCCAAAAGGAATGTCCTAATCACAATACAGGAGAATCAGTTTGCTTTATTTTACACTTACTTCTACTGGGTTATTATCATTAAACCTTTAATTTTGCTATTTGAGAAACATATAAGCATTTCTTAGAAGTCATATCTCCTTAAAAAGAAAAAAAAAATTCCTATCTCCTTACCAACAAGTACAAGATAATACTGCCTTTGTAGAATGACTTAAGAGTGTACTAAGGTCTTTCATTTTCGCTTAATCCATATCCTGTAAGTCGTCATTATTTCTATGAGGTGGGAACCTAAATTTCAGAAAAGTGGTTTGTTCAAAGACATACATCTACTAGGTAAAATGTTTAAAAGAAGAATGGACTCTGGCGCCAGCTTTGTGCTTGTGAATCTTATTCCACAGCTCTGTAACCGTTGGGAAGTATTCGAACCCTGCAGCCCTCGATTTCCTCATGTATGAAATAGGGATAATAGTACCTACCTAAAAAGGATATTGTGACTATTAAATGAGTTATTCTATGTATTCTAGTGCACGAAAGCACTTAGCGTAGTATTTACCACACAAGTGCTATCTAAATGTTAACTGCTGTTATCATTCAGATGGTGGCAAACTACGTGTTTTTAAGAGAACTTAATTTTGTCGCATGTCTACACCAACTGTGTGATCCATGTTTTTATCGGGTACTATCATTTAACCTTCCCAATTCTTTAAGACAGAATTTTACGTTCATTTCTGCCTATTTTAGAGCTAAGGAATAGGAAGTTTCGGGAAGTAAAAAGTAGTGAAATCTCAATCTGCAGGTGACTAAAGCTAGGAGAAGTTAAGTCACTTGACCCAGCGGCAAAGACTGGGACTCGAACCCGGGTCTAATCCCAAAGCCGGCGCTCTAGAGGACTACGACGATTTAAACAGAAACACCTCCAGAGACCAAGCGGCTGTATTAACGGGAAGCCTAGGTGTTCCTGCACCTCTGTCCCAGCATTTTAATGTCGCCGCATTGTGTTTGTCTCTTTTTGAGCAGTTTTACAAGTCCCTGGCCCGAAAACCCCCTGTCCCTCTCCATCCCCACAGCGGACTCCTCAGGTCCTCAGCCCTCACCTGGCCGGGTCGAGACCCGGACCTGACCATCTCTCGCAGCCTCAGAGAAGCCCAGATCGAAGGAAGTGAAGCCTCACGGTAGAAAGAATTAACCGCCTTGGGCTCCTGGACCTTCTTGGCCCGCCCCCCGAGCTTCCGCTTCCGGAAAGGATCCCGCCGAACGCCGCGCTTCCTAGTCTCGGATGCCACTCCACCGCCTTTCTCCTGCTCCAGGACCCGCGACTTGGGCGTGCGCAATAGATCCCCCCCGGCTTCCCGGCTCGTCGCCCGCCGGCAGACGGTGAGAGAAGCCAATAGACGGCGAACGGGGCGGGGCCGAGGCATGGCTTGGGCGGGGCCGGGGCGGGGCCGCCGAGAAAAGGGTTGAGCGGTGCGGTTCTAGGGCTTGCGGTGCGGGAAACCGGGAGGAGGACCTGCGAGCGTCCGAGGAAGGGACAGGGGTAGGAGGCGGATAGGTTTCAGAAGGCATTGCGCGCGACTTTTTGGGTTTTCGCTCTTTATGTTTAGTTTGGCATCTTGTGTGCCCTTTTGGATGATTTTGCTTTTTATACTTATAAAAATAAGACCCCCGGGTTATCTTTCCGTAAGTATGATGGCAATTTCAGAATTATTCCCTGTGGCCACTGATCTCAGAACGGTGTCGTTAGTTGAGATTTTGGGTTTACTTCCATGCGTACGTGTCTCCTCTTGCGTTGAGGCAGTTACTTTTGATGAAGAATGACACAGCATTCCTAGCATTGCATGCTGCACTCATTTTAATGGGGATTTTAGTCATTGGTTTTTAAGGCATTAGGTTTTGGGTTAATGATTTAAATCAAGTTGAAGAGAGATAACTCAGTTGATTCCATTTCAACTGTTGTCCAGGCTGGAGAGCAGTGGCACGACCTCGGCTCACTGCAACCTCTGCCTCCCAGGTTCCAGCGATTCTCCTGCCTCAGCCTCCTGAGGAGCTGGGATTACAGGTTTGCGCCACCACGCGCAGCTAAGTTTTGCAATTTTAGCGGAGTTTCACCATGTTGGCCAGGCTGGTCTCCAACTCCTGACCTCAGGTAATCCGCCCACCTTGGTCTCCCAATATTCGGGGATTACAGGAGTGAGCCACCACGCGCGGCCTCATTTCGTTTTAATAGAGAAAAGAGCTACCCTTTAAAAGTCTGTTACATTTAATGTCAAAACCCAGGAACTAAAATATGTCCACCAATATGTCACACACTTATCCTGAGTGATTTTAGGAAACTTGAGTATTTCACAGATTTAGTTTTGAATCAGATCAAACTGTGAAAACCTCTCCTTTCCTTCCCCAGCCCTCTCCTAACTTCATAACTTTCTAACATATTCACCCAAAATTAAGGACTTCTCTTTCGGTTGATTTTTTTAAAATTCGTATTGATTTTTCTTAATACATGTGTATTTTAGAAAATATGGATAAGGAAAAACGAAAAGACCTCATTACCCCTGAGTTATCACTCTGAACAGCTTGATGCATTCCCTTCAAGATTTTTTCCACCTATGTATATATTATAAATGTATTACAACGATATGAAATAATAGATATTACTGTAATATGAGTGTTTTAATATCTAATGAACATTGTTTCTCATTAATCTACAATTATATAATGGCTGGCTGGTGTTCCATGATTCATTTCCCTAGTGTTGAAAATGCTATGCCCCCACTGTCTTTTTCATCTTGTATTTGCTATTATAAATTATGTTGCACTGAGCTGAGATCTGCAAATTAACTAGATAGAGAGGGGAGAGCAGAGTATTCTAAAGATGTGGAGACAGCCTGATGTTGAGAACGAGAAACCCAAAGAGGCTCTTGCTGCTGACATATAGACAGTGGGGATGGAAATGAATATAGGGGCCAGGCTATGTAGGCTACATCATAGGCTACATGATTTGCGTTGTTATCCTAAGCTCATTGGGAATATGTAAAAGTTCAAGCAGGGGGCACAGTGAACTGACTGGTGTTTTACAAACATCCATGGCTGTAGTGTACAGCAGGAATCCGAAATCTACAATCCCTGGCTAAATTCTGTCTGCCATTCTTTGATACAGCCTGAGAACAGTTTTTACATTTTCAAGTAGTTTTTTTAAGTCGAAAGAATAATATTTTCTGATGTGAAAAAAAAGATGAAAATCATCTCAATGTTATAAAGTTTTATTGGAACACAGTCACACTAATGCATTTGCACATTATGCTACAACTGCTAAAGTTGAGTATTTGTGATAGAGACCGTCTAGCCTGCCAAGGCTAACTAACATATATACTATCTGGGCCTTTACAGAAAACGTTTGCTGATCCCTTGCATAGAGGGTGCTTGGGGGAAAGGCAAGCATGGGTGTGAGCAAGTTCTCTCCTCCTGCATCCATTTTCTGCCCTTCTCTGTGCCCCAGGGTCTGACATCACTCAGACATGCCCTCCAGCTTCAGGTTCTGTTTAGTCAATAGAAGAGGGAGAGAATGGGATACTTCTATCTCAGCACATTTGGCTGATCGATTGGCCCTCTGCATCCTTAGGGGAGCCCCTGGAGTTCCAGTTCCCTCACACTCTAATAAAACGTCCTTCCCTTTGTCCCTCCAGTCTTAGGGATGATAATGGTTTGCTAGTCCTTGGGTGCCTCAACCTCCTTGTTGTTTTCCTTGCCCATTGTGTAAACCTTTTAATTATCTTCAAAATCTATATTGTCTTCTGTTTCCTGTGAGTACCAGACTGATAGGAAGTCCAGATGAAATATATTGGTAGCTGGGAAGGGATGAGGGGATCTAAGGGAGGTGGTGGTGAGGAAATATGAAGAGAACGTATTTGAGAGATGCATAGGAGGTAAAATGGAGAGGACTTGCTAACAGAGTTGGAAAATAAGGCAAAGGGGAGGTATATGTTGACCCTGGTTTCCGGGTTTTGTATCTTGGTGGATGGTGGGAGAGATCCACATTTAGGAAGGAAACTTGTGAACTCATTTCTCGCCAACATTTCATTTTTAAAAAAATGCAAACCAGGAAAGTCATTTTTTGATATGTTAAATTAGGGAGTACTTTGGAGTCATCCACAGAAAGTTAGCTACTGGGTAGTTGAGCCTGGAGCTTGGCAAAGACGTGTGGGCTGCAGATACATCTTTCTGAGTTATCTGCGGCTTCAGAAGTTGTTCTCATATTACTTCCTCAGGAAAACCACTCTATCCTGCCCCTGCAAACTAGCTGTGTGCTCCAAACTACTATGTAGTAGCGTCATTCCTCACAGTTAAAAACTTCTGATTAGTTATGTAATGTCTGTCTTGCTAAGTAGAATTTAATCTCTATGAAAGCAGGGACCTCACCTTGTTCAGAGCAGTGTCCCCAGTGCGTAGCCCAATCCCTTGCACATGGTAGGAATTTCTTAATTATTTGTTGAAAAAATCAGTGAATCAACCATTGTTTAGACTGCTTTGGTGCATCGCAGCTGACAGCTACTTGAATGTCTGAAGCTCAGGATTATCCAGGACTAGCCCTTTGAGCCTGGTCTGGAGGTTTAGTCCCTCTAGTATCATGGATACACAACTCTGCTTATCTATCTAGTCTCATAATTCAGCACATTTGACCAATGACTTTCCAACTGACTCACCTCTGAAGTGTGAAAGTCTCTATTCAGGTTTGGCCATGTTCCAGTTCATAGGAAATGACCAAAGTTGAAAGTATATGAAGATCTAAACTAAAAACACAGATTTATGGCCAGGATCTAAGATTCAAAAAGTAAGAGGCTGTGGATAAGAAGCCACATGTTGGGAGCATGAGCTCAGTTCTGCTTGGAAAGATCTGAGGGCCTGTGCTGTTGCCTTTCCCCAAGCCACGTAGTGCTCTTTGGGGCTATTTTGAACCTAGAGATTCTTGGCCTTTTGAGATAATATACAACTTTGAGAAACTGCTCAAAGCTTTATAATTTTTTCTTCAGAAAAATGCTAACGAGCACATTTTGGAAACACAGTTATATATATATATATGTTATCAGAGGCGTTCAGGAGCTTCTCCAAGGATTTCAGGTTAAGATTCCTATTCTAACCTAATTTGAAACCAGCCTTCTACACTGGGGTGTCCAGCTCCTTCTGTTGCAGGGCCCTGGTGATCCTGAAAGTTGTTGGTTAACTAGGGATGGTAGGTCCCTGGTGGAAGAGCATCAAGCAGAGGAAGGGCATGGAGTATAGACAAAATGGAATTGAGACATAATCTTTCATTTCCCACTGAAGCTTATGTATCTGCAGTCTTCACTTTAATCAAAATAGCTTAATTTAGGAAAGAAAGAGACCACTGTTTTTGTTTTATAAAATCCTGATTTTATTGCTTCCTGAAAAATTTTTTAAAGGCGAAATACAAACCATATGTTACAAGGGCCTTCATTTGACAGTTTAACTGGGGTCACTCTAGGACTCTATAGATATTGCTGATTATGATAGGAAAGCCAGTGGGATGGGTCTGACAGGGATCTGTTGGCAGCAAGGATCAAGATACCCCTTTGGAATGATCTTGTCACAAGGAAGAAATGTTTGGGGACAATGTGCCATATTTGTGGGTCAGGTGTTGATTTTAATACAGCACAATGACAGTCACTTATTGCCCTGCAGACCCTGAAGACTTGTTCCTGACCCAAAGAGAAACATTAATAGTGATTAAAATGCTAAAACTTTGTTTTATTAAAATATCTGTAACGCAGTGTAGCAGATGTGGGTGGCTTCTTACTGTGAACATCTATGACTTCCTGCCTGAGAGCCTTTTTTTCTGGAGCAAAAGGAGCAAGCTGAGGCAAGCTGGAAAGGCAGAACATTAATGCCCCTGGAAGATGCCCTCAGTCAATGACAGGTGGGGATTATCCAGTGATGGATAAAGAGCTTCCTCACCCCTTTGATTAGGATAACTCTGAGATGTGTTCTGTGCTGTCTCCCAGAGTTCCTCAGCAGTATTGGGGTACAGGGGTAACTGGCTGGATAACACACCATTTATTGGCTTTCTTCTCATCACTAGAATATCTTATTCTTCCTATCCGTGTTCCACTGTTCCTGAGATCGCCTTCTAAATAAACTATTTGCATGCAAATCTCTGTCCCAGGGATTATTTCAGGTGGGGGGGTGGTGAGGGGGTTGGAAGAATCCATATCTAGACAGGCACTGAGAATATATACAAGGCATCATAGGTTTGGAGTCAGACAGATCTGGATTCAGATTCTCACCAGTGACATTGAACAACTTAATTTATCTAAGATTGTTTCTTTGAGATGATACTGACTTCATAATGGAGACAATGACTTCATAAGGTCATATTGTAAGGAACAATTTGAGAATGTATATAAAGCAC